GGTCCCTTCCGACCCTAGAAACTATGAAACTATGATATAACCTTCCCCTCCCACTGGAGACAATGGGAGCGGAAGGCTGGACAGCTCATCACATTGCCGGAGTCGGCTCTTTACCCTCTTTAAGCTTCTTAGATCAAGGAGCCAGCGTCATCCAGGGGGAGAGAGAGTGTGTGCGTGTGTGTGTGTGCACGTGTGTGTGTGTGGGGGGGGGGGGGGGGGGGGGAAGGGGGATCAAGTATTAATTCAGGATGCTTAAGTTACACATGAGCAAAACATCTGCTGAGTCTACTCCAGGCAGAGCAACAGGAGCTCATATTCAGATCTCCAAAGCTAAACCCTGCATTGGGACCTTTCTTCTTGCATACCATGCCACAGAGCTCTGTAGCTGGATCAAAGCAGCAAGTGCCACCAACAAGAAGGCAACATGACTGCTACGTCACGAGTCAGTAAGCGATCTGTATTTACTGACACGGCTCCCTCTTTCAGAGTCCAGATGAGGGCCTCAGACCCATCATTGGTGTCAATTCACATCTGGTTAGCAAGAGACACTTAGTGCCTAGACACCATGATGTTCCTCTGGTGTTAGCTGAACAAGATGAGGTTTCGGTAACCCAGGAGTGTAAAAGGGGAATGTCTTAGATACCACAGCGTGGCATGTGCAGTATTAGCTCACAACACTACAAGCTGGCTTCACCAAGCGCATGATGCCAAGAGCCAACTACCACGACGTAAGCTAAGGGTGCACCTCTGCAGCGCAGTGTGAACTCTGCAATAACTGCCCGTGTGTACACGCTTACCCCCTGGTAAGGGCAAGGCAGCTTGTCCCTCTACCTTAGGACTCACCGCATGATGAGAGCGCACACGAGTAGCTAATGCACTGCACGTTCGCACCTTAGCTTAACTCATGGTAGCTTGCTCTTCTGGGAGTCTACATACACAGTTTGTCCGTCCCATTCTTCGCAGACATTATTGGAGCACATCTGGTTGCCATGTGCTGCATAATGCCTTTGACATTTAGTTTCCAACCCCAGGCATTGAAACAGCGGCGAGAGCACAGAAGCACTGAATCTGACATTTTATCCCTGAGCTATCCAGCGAGCAACCTTTAGACAGCAGTGCAATATGCAGAAGCTGGGGGGGGGGGGGAAGAGGCACCCGTTACAAACAAAACCCCAACCCTTAAAAAACTAAGATA